GAGAGAGAGAGAGAGAGAGAGAGAGAGAGAGACGCCTCTGCTACCGCTGCTGCTTGCTCTCGTTCCGGTAGGAGTGTCGATCGACAAGACCTGTCTTTTAGGACATTTCAACCAGGACGAGGAGGGATGGAAGAGTCCCGAACGATGCTGCTCTAGAGTAGAAAATAGATAGCCCGTGAAGAATGCCACCTTTTTTTTTTCGTGGACGACGCTGACTCGTGATTTTCTTGCGCCCTTTAGCACCCCCACCCCCCTGTGTTCGTTTCTGCCGTCCGCCTCTCGCTGGCGGCGTTTTTTACGGCCTCTTGCCAGTTCTTCGTCCTCAGCACCCTCACTACTTACCACTACCTGCAACGATTACGGCCATTTCCACAACCCGTCACTGCTCATTTTTGTACTTACTGTCTCGGTGTACTCTATTTTGGCCTTGGTCATTGTTCTCTGTCCGGCTCGTTTGAAAGGCCGGAGTGCGCCACTGGCTAGACATCGTAGACGTCCTGTTCCGCTACATCGGCATGCTAAGGAGAGAGGGGCCTCAGGAGTGGGTTTTCCAAGAGATCAGGGACGTCGCCAACATTCAGTACAGGTGTAAGATTGAAATGCCTCTACACGCGCAACGCGTCCGATGAGAAGAAGAAAACCAGCCGGATTATTAACTCGTGCTTCTCGTCATCTGTTGACAGGAGTTTAGCAGGGAACAGGAAGTAGAGGCACCACGCAACGAGGGGACGTGCTTGCAATTTTTATCGCCTTAACATGGAGAATGTCAACAACTGTCTGCGCATGTAGTGCACGTTCGAGAAGGAGGAAAGGGACATGGATGGAGTTGCCCCTTTCTCACTTCTCACGACTGTTCCACGCCACTCCACACCACGCCACGCGGAGAGTGAGTGTCTTCTTTTTCGTGCTTTTTCATGTAGGCTCCACTCTCGCGCGCTACTTTCCCACCACACGCCACTCTACAGCACATGGGTGATGTCACGTCATGGCGTCAAGTTCATGTGTCCCACACCACCCATCGCGTAACAGCTGTAGCTTCGTCCCTCCCTCCCTCCCTCCCTCGTTGTCTCCCCCTCTCTCCCTCCCTTCCTCTCTCTCTCCCTCTCTCTCTCTCTCCGTCGCTCCGCTGTCTATCGTGTTGTAGGTTTCAGGAGGAAAGCGAGCCGGCAGAGTACGCGGAACGGCTTGCCGAGCAGATGCTGCCTTCCGCCCGCTTCGAGGATGCCCACATCCTCAAGGGACCCTACGTCATGGACAAGTGGGACCCCGCCCTGCTCGAGGCAAGTGCCATTAACGTGCGGGAGATTGGAAGGGCCGGCGATGCTTTGTTCAGCCCTGTGCATGTGGCCATCCGGATGGATTGCTGCTGTGTTTTGCTGTTTTTGTTTTCCCTCTTCTTTTTGTCTATCTCTGCCAACCATTCTTCGCGGCCTTGAACAGCCACGCTGTGATAGAGCCGAGCATCTAGAACCCCAAGCTGAATCATGTCACGCTGCCGCGGCTGCTCGCTCCTTCCTGCAGCTCCCGCTATAACTGCCTTGTCGCGAACCCTGTTTTGCTGTGCAAAAACGCGCAGGGTATAATCGAACAGCTCACCCCCAGCTCGGCTCGATACGACGTCCTATCTACACTCTTCGGACGCGCGGTGGACGCCGCTCGAAACGGCAAGAACCAACATCCTCAGAGCGAGGACAAGGAGGAAGAAGGCGATGAGAATGGTCACGACAAGACGGCGGAGGGCGAGGGTGCCCCCGGCAAGGGAGGGGCAGGCCAGCGAGGAAAAAAAAGAGCCGCGGGCGAGGAAGACGACGACGGTTCCGACGAAGGTTCCGATTATGATTCCGGGGAAGGTTCCGAGGATGAAGGTTCCGATTATGATTCGGAGGAAGGTTCGGAGGGTGGAAAAGAAGAGGAGGAGGAGGAGGAGGAGGAGGAAGAGGAAGGGATGGAACTGGGGCACTATCACGAGCTTTGCAAGAAGCCCGACCGTGACCCGCTGGAAGAGCCTCGCTTCGGAGTGTGCTTCTGGAGCGACGCGATTCCCGCGGAGGTGATCACCGTGTTTCATGTTTCATGTTTCATGTTTTCGTTTCGGCCGCAGTAGCGGTAGCAGGGTTGAGGTAGGGTAGATCGCCATGCTTCATGTTTCATGTGTCATGTTTCAGGTTTTATTTTCTGCGGCAGTAGCGGTAGCGGGGCTGAGGTAGGGCAGACTGGGGTCGAGTTATGTGAAAGGTGAATGTAAATTGATGTCGACGCAAACGAAAGTTTGGCGGAGTCTATGCAAACGAAGGTTTGGCGGAGTCGACGCAAACGAAAGTTTGTTTGAGTGTGTTAAATGCCAAAAGTACTCTGGAGTATCATTTTAATGGGAGGGTTGATGTGCGGCAGTGGGCCGACACACTGGTCCCGCCCATCTTTGTCGCGCGATGCTTGTGACTCCCAAAGGCGTCGACTGTCACCAAGTGCTTGTTTCTCAAGTGGAGAAATGCTCTCACCCCCTTTTAGTCAACCCTGTAACCGTTGTTGTCGTCTTAACGTTGGACACCGTCGTCCTCCCCGGCCTTTCGTTGTGCGGGACCCCAACCGCTCAGATCTTGGAGGCATGGGCGGCATCCCTGCAGCAAGAGCAGCAGCAGCAGGCGGGCGGCAGCACCGCCAGAAGCTCTCTGCTCAGCAGCAGCGCGGGCACTACCGGCGCCGGGAAACACCCGGGTGCGGTTGCCGCCGCTGCCCCGAGCAACGGTACCACCAACGGGATGACGATGATGAAGTCCGCGGCGGGGGGGGCGCAGAAGCAGCGTCAAGACGTACCCAAGGGCAGCGGCAGCGGTAGTAGCGAGCCCCCTCTCCCCACCCTGGCCCTCCCAAAGCCCAACCGGTTCATCCCCTCGGAGTTGGGCATCAAGGAAATTCCCGCCGCGTCGGAGGACGGCAGCAGCAATAACGCCTCCTCGACGGAAGCCGAGGCGGGAGGAAAGGGGGGAGCGCATCATCGGCAGCAGGCGGAGAGACACAGCCCGCGCAAGGTGGCGAGGGAGAGCGCTTCGGCGCGAGATGCTGGCGGCGGCGGTGGTGGTGGGGTCGTGAGGTGGACCCTGTGGCACTTGCAAGACAGGACATTCGGGCAGCCCAGGGCGGAGATTTATCTCAAGGTGATGTGATGTGGGTTGGGGTGGTGTGCGTGCCGTGCCGTGTCGAGACACAAGGACGGCGTGTGTGACGATCATGGGACGTATGAATAGAGTCTGCAGTCTGGCATGGCTTGATGTGGTGTGTGTGTGGGATAGGACATGATCATGGGATGGAATGGGATGGGATGGCGTGGGATGAAATGGAGTGAGATGGAGTGAGATGGGATGGGATGGGATATGATGGAATTGGATGAGATGGGATGAGATGGGATGGGATGGGGTGGGGCGCGACGCCACACGTTGCGTTCTTCTCGCAGGGCGGACTCAACCAAAACGGTGTGGGTGATGCGCACGCGCCCACAGCGTCTTGTTACCGCTCTACATACCCGATGACATCTTACAAGCATGCGCAGCAAATACAAGGCATGTGCAGAAGAAAGCTGTTAAAGCATGTCGCACGTCGTTAAGTGTTGTACCGCCACTCATCGTTGCCAAGAAGACCTACACGGGGAGTAAATCCCCAGCCAGCAGTAAGAGTCATTCAATTCAGACCTTCACCGGCACCCACCAGTGCACATCCCCCCTGTCATTTGATTCATCGTCTCGCGAAAACGGTTGGGCCGTGTCGTCTTTCTTCATGGTCTTCGATGATGGTGATGATGATGATAATGATGATCTGATGATGATCTGATGATGACGATGATGATGAATGATGATTGTGACATTGAAAGGTTGTGACGCCGGTGGCGAACGAAAGCGCGCGCTCGGCGGCTCTCTGCGAGCTGGTGGTGCGGCTGGTGAACGACTCCCTGACCGAGTACTCCTACGACGCGTACGTGGCCGAGCTCAGCTACCACGTCAAGGCAACAGACGCGGGTTTCCAGGTGACGTGGGGCGTTTTTTTTCTTTGCTGTTGTGTTGCGAGCCAAAGGATGATGTGGTGTTGCTGAAAGATAAATGGTACGGCAGAGTATCAACAAAGTGTTTTTTTTCGCTTTGCGAACTCAGAAGGTATGGCTGTTCTTTCTGTGTGTCCCTGTGCGAGAACGGGCACCGGTCCCGCTGCTGTTTCAGGTGAAATCGTGGAGTGTTGGCACACCTCTCACCTCGCGGCTCGTTGTAACCCCTCAACTCTGCACACGTCCAACCAAAAAAGCATGCTTTCATCCTCCTGTATGTATACATCCATCAAGTTCTGGCGTTGCGTGCGCGCTCTGCTCCACGTACCCGGCCGTTTTAGCCTCTTCCTCTCTTTCCCTCACCCTGTCCCTCTTGTCACCGTTGCCGTTCGAGCAGATACACGTGTACGGCTTCGACCACAAGGCCCCCCTCATGCTTCGGGAGGTGCTCAAACGCCTGCTGGACCTGGGGTCCCACCTGGAGGAAGGTACGGCACACGTACTGCACAGTACAGTACAGTACAGTACCGAACAGGCAGTACCATTCAGTGCCTACCGTACCGTACCGCGTTTGACGCACAGGCTGTAGAGGTATGACAGTGTATTGTGCCACCCCGGAGACACCCGGCCAATGTGGGCCGCTTGACATCCCTCCGAGAACTGACTGACTGACTGACTGACTCTGGCTGCGCGATACGGCTACAACATTTTTTGGTATGTTGTTGTTGTTGTTGTTGTTGGTTGTTGTCTTCACATTAACGTGTCAGTTGCTAATCCCAAATATAGATGAGAGAAAGGGAGATAGACGCCACGCGGTTTCCGACGGCCACAACCGTATGTCATACTTAGTTGCTGATTATTCGGTTCGGATCGTCGGTTACACTATTTATCTCTAAGACACCCGCCGCTGACGGTGAAAAACCGGTACATTCCCCCTCTGCTACAGCAGTGTTGAACAAGAAACTCTGACATGTGTCGATGGGCAGCGCGTGGAGACTTGGGAGCATCAAGACACGGCTGACACTCACAGCAATGCGGTTTCGTGTGGGCTACGCTCTTTTCCCCCTTGTTTTGTGACGATACAATATCGCAGGGCCCCTGTCTGTGCAGCTGGAAGCCCTAATCAGAGGCTACCACAACACCAACATGAAGCCCGGGAGGCACGTCTCCAACGTCCGACTTGAGGTGAATGAACATAACGACCTACAGGGGGTAGAAACAGAGAAGGAGGTGTACTCACGTAAGCGCGTGCCGTAGTCGTTAGATCGTTGCCCTCGCATCCCTACAGTGCCGGAACGGAGGAGCGATATGTATGCCGGGTTTTCGCCTGCCCAGGCTACGCTGACAAGGATGAAGCAGAAGCTGGTAATCACCCTTGCGTTTGCTGTGCCAAACCAGATATGCCATACGTTGAGTGGGCGACGGGTTGACGCAGAACCGAAAGAAATAAAATGAGTCTCATGATGTGTTGCCCCTCAGTATTTCGCTACTCCTCCGGCATGGAGAGACGAGAGTCGCGGCAGACACCCAGAGTGGGAGGAGAGAGACTGAGGTCGAATGAGAGGCACGCCCACATGGAGAGGAAAGCGTAAGCCGGGAGAAACACCACACAACCGTACGCACATGCAAGCATCCTACAGCAGTACTGCTGTAAGCAGATGTCGTGGTTTCAGTTCTGCTTTGGCCTATTATATAACAGGGTGCAGCCGTTACGAAAACCAACCGGCACACGCAACTAATTCGCCGGAGGACAAGCCGTTGCACCCTTCTCTCTAGCTCACGTTGCAAGATACGTAGAAAATACAGACGAGGACCTTCCAAGGAGTTGTGAAGGACGTAGGTAGTTTTGCTGCCCGTGATACCCCTCCAATACCTATCCGCTGCGCCTCGAAGTATTATCAGGAGATGGTGTTCGCTGAGAGAGCGTTCCTTGGAATTGAAGGAAGAGATCCCTCAAGCAAAAAATCAGCCTCAATTTCCGAACTCGCGAAACCGATTCTCGCCGTGGCGCCTCCTCCTCCTCCTCCTCCCTCCTGTGGTGCATGTGATGACGTCTGCCTTCTGTCGCATCACGTGACGCGTGTGCTCTCTCTTCGTTTGTCACGCCGTTGGTTGGTGGTAACGGACGACGATACCAACCACAACCAGGCTTTGCGGAAAGGCAGCTGGTCTCCGGTGCAGAAGCAGGCCGCCCTGACCGGGGCTGGGGAAGGGCAGGACGCCTCAGGCCCAGCAACCGGAGAGGGGGAGAGAGCAGCGGGGGCGGGAGCCACACCGGCGCTGTCTGTTGCGCACGTGCAGGCCTTCCTCAAGCGCCTGTTCTACAGGTGCCAGCTTCTCTAAATGTGTTGCATGTCCTCGCCATAGCCAAGAGTCAATAGTAAAATGCTTCAACTATTGAGAGGAAAACAACTGTCCAGTAACAAGTTGATTGTGTGTTACGTATCGGGGTCGACGCACTGCTGAACTGTCGAAATGTGCCTCGGCGGTTTCATTTACCGTTCAGGCGTTTTTTTCTCTCTTGCACGCTTCGTCTAGCCGCTGTTCCGAGTCACGGTGTTCTTGAGAAGACGTGCGAGGGGGCTGCATGTCCCCCGTCTCCCTCCTGACCCCCACCGACTTTCCTCCCCCTCTCCCCTCGGATTTACTGTCTGGTGTCGGTCGGTCCGGGTGGATGATGCACATCTCAGGGTAGAGATGGAAGGTCTCGTTCACGGAAATTTCTCGGAGGCAGACGCTGAGAGAGTCTTGGACGACATCGAGCAGGTAAGGTACTGCTGTGGCCTCTGTATTTGAGATTATTTCACACGCACTGAATCATGTCTGCGTTGATTGCTTCGCTGTTGAGAAAAGTGAAGACAGCGGCAGAATTTTGGTTCGACAAGCTTGTTTACGGATTCACACGGCCGCGCGAACCTCTTTTGAGCGACGGGCGCCGGCGTTTCGAAGATTCCTGCTCTTTTTTTGTTTTGAGGTCCTCATCTGCGGTTTGCTTTTTACATGTGATTTGTGTTCGGGGGATCAATCATTGTTGGCCCTTTCCGTGTTGGCGACACAGGTAGCCGAGGAGGCGGCAGTCAGCAGGGGGGGAGGCAGGAACGCTGTCGTCGACATGGAAGAGGGCGACGACGGTGGTGCGGAGGAGGTGGCGTTCCAGTACCCGGACGAACCCGTCGTGAAGCTCGACCCGTCCCAGCACGTGCTCTACTGCTGTCCCAGCAAGGATCCCACGGAACAGAACTGCGGTGAGGACACTGTCATGGTGATGGTGGCGATGGTGCTGTCTGCAGATGTTGCTGCTCCTGTTGTTGTTGCTGCTGCTGCTGCTGCGATGCTGCTTGATCTGGATACACTTTCTATTCTAATGACGTTTTAGAACAAGAGACCCACCTGTTACGTCAGCAGTGTGTGCTTGTTTCTTCCACGCTCGGCTGCTTGTTGCTGATATTTGTTTGCGCCCACCGTATGTCTGACCTCTCCCCCTCCCCGCGCGCGCCCCAATGGTTGCTACCTCTTCCTTCGTTACGTCATCGAGCAGCACTGGAGGTGTACTGGCAGATCGGGGCGAACAACCTCGAGGATAGAGTTATCGCCGACGCCATCGAGCAGGTATGTTTTTTTTGTTCACATATTTGTATGTACGTTGTGTGTATGAGACAGAGTCAGACACAGCAAGGCTCCTTGCACTTATCCTTGCGTAGATGCTGCAGGTGTCATCCGATAGTATGCGTGGTCTTCCTACTTGGTACATTGCCCCCCAGCTTGTGTGATTTTTTTTTTCGGTTTTCCCAGTATTTGTGAAGTATGTTGTTTTCTCGCAGGAGCCTATGTTACCTAAGGTACCTAAGGTACAGTTACAGTGTAACCTCCGAAGAATCGCTTCTCGCGTCGCGGTGAAATTCCTCCCGGCGTCGTGTTTCGCGTGTCCGGCCGGCCATGCCCCGGCGGAGTTTGCCTCACCCGCTGCTGATCTCAAAGGCTGCTACTTGTGTTCGTCAAGAACTAAAATAGATGCATCGACCCGGCCTTGTGCACACGCTGTAACAAGCATCAAATGTAAGACATCTCCAAGATGCCAAGTCTATGCCAAGCAACTGCCGTGTTGTGCTCGCTTGTGGTTGTGTTTCTTGAGTTCACGTTTTTCCATCGTTCCGACCTCTACCTGGTACCTCCATGGCATCGATGCCGACCATCAACCGGCACCACACCACAACTGGAATTACTGTACATGATGCTGAATTGGTCAAGGTGATGGACGAGCCTCTGTACGACCAGCTTCGGACGAAGGAGCAGCTCGGGTACAGCGTCGGGTGCTCCACCCGCGTCACCTGCGGCGTGCTTGGCTTCTGCATCACCGCGCAGTCCGCCGCTTACGCCCCCGCTCACCTCTACGCCCGCGTCCGCGCGTTCATGAAGTCCTTCCGGGACACCCTGGTGAGCGTGATCCCTGAAATTTCGGCTTCGTGTGTGTGTTTATTATTTGCATCGACTGCGCTAACCGTCTGACCAATGAAAAGACGTCAATCGCAGTGCGGTTGGAAACACGAAATGCTTCTAAAGGCCATGATCTGGGACCCCGTGAGGTGGCGTCATGGGTGTGTTTGTGTGTGTGTTTGTTATTATTAGCATCGACCGCGCTAAACGGCTGACCAATGAAAAGACCTCAGTGTCAGCGGGTATAGTCAAGGTCCGTGGAAGGGGGACCAAAATTCGAAAAATGCGCAATGGTTGTGTGTGTCTGTTGTTCATTTTCATCCCTTTATGTCAGCGCTCACAGTTCGTAGCATTTCTGAGGGGTAGGAGCTGTCTCCAATCGGTGTGATTGTGTGTACATTTCTTTTCTTGTGAGCACGGAAGTTGTTCTGTGTTTTGGGATACTATGCTCCAGCTTGTTGGAGGCCGGGTGCGCTTCTTGGTTGTTGGTGTCGTAGGGCTTTTTTGGTGCCAAGCGCGTCTGTTGTGGTTGTCACAGGAAGTTGGTTGGCACCTCTATCTAGTGCGTTCTCCTCCTCCTGCTACATAGACAAGCGATTTTCCGTGGCCACAGGCAAACCCAACAAAAAACAGGGTGAAGGCTAAGCATGACTCCCTTGTTTCTGGACTCCACCCCCTGTTGTGTTTTGGTTACCCGGTGCAACACCCATGCCGTGTTTGTTGCACCCCTGTGTAGTGCGGGTCTCTTTTTCGAATTTTCGGAAACTCCGGCTGCACGTTGCTGTGCACCGTTGCCATCTAAATCCCGCTTCGTACACAGTAGTCAGTTTCCTTTACCCCGGCCGACTACACCCAACCCTTTCCCGACCAAAAAGGCGGGCATGACAGAAGACACGTTTTCGATGAACATGGAGTCCGCCGCGGCGAACAAGCTCCAGCCCGACAACACTCTCAGCGAGGAGGCCCAGCGGTACTGGCCCGAGATCTACAGCCGTAGGAGGGAGTTCCACGTGAACGTCGCGGAGGCCGCGGAGATGAAGGGGTTGGAGAAGTCCGCCGTTCTACGAGCATACGAGGAGTGGTGAGACTAAAGCCGGAATGTGCCTCAGCCGGCATCCGTTTTTGCCGCTCTTTGGATTGTCCGGGGTGGTACTACAGCAGCATAGGGGGCGGGATGCGAGGTTCTCGCGCTGCCGTAGGGGGTGAGACAGCTCCAGTGCCGGAAATTCGAGGTTCTAATGTAGCGCTGCATTGTAGGGGGAGACAGCTCTGGTGAGAAGGTGAGGTTCTTTTGTGGTCCTGGCACGGACCGGCGCCGTGTATCTTCTTGTCGCAGCACGCACATGACCCTATCCTGTCCGCTATTTGTCGAACTGGCCTCGAAATCTCGCGCAGCACGTGTTTCTCGTTTCGCGGCTTCCGTCTGCGGTAGCAAAAGTTCCCGCACAGCAGTTTTTGAGCTCGTTTTCTATTTGTTTGTTTTTTTTTGCTCTGCTTTAGGCCGCTTACGGCAACCAACTTTTCCCACCGCAATTTATATAACCATCGGACGAAGAGACAAGCTGCACACCACCAATACTGACCACCATAGAACTTTAACTTTCTCTTACCAAAGGCACCTAAAAGAAACATAAATAAACAATCGTGTGCGGTGGCGGCGGCGTCGTCGTCGACGCTCAGGTTTTCGGGCGAAGGCGAGGGCAAGCCGTGCTTTACGCTTACGGTAACCGGCGAGGGCAAGTTCAGCGCCGACGACGAAGCCAAGGCGATAGAAGCTCACATCCAGGAGGAGATCGAGAGCAGCAGCAGCAGCAAAGACGTGGGCGGCGGGTTGTCGTCACCCTCGCGAAAAACGTGCGTGCGCATCGCGACGCCCCCGGAGCTGTACTGCCCCGCGGAGGGTCGTGACGTGTTCCCCCAACTTCTTGGCGTGCTGACTTGTTGACCGTGCCACAAAATTTTGCATCGGCCGCTTGTGTCCTTCATCGGCACTTCGGTCCCGAACACCAGTAGCGACGTCTCGAGATATGATTAGGTTGGTAAATGTGCTCGTTAGCCTCGTGGGTTTGTTGGTTTCCGATCGACCGTGGAAGACATGTTTCGCATCGTGCACGCCTCATGGCGGATGGTTCTGCCACGGCGGGGGCGTGTTGAGGCGTCTGGGTGTGACTATGGTCGTCAGCCACTGGGTGGGCGGTCTTGGCCTTGACTGAAGGCTGGGCCTGGCGTGGTTCGTGGGTTACTCGCTGGGTACATGTGGTCGTATGAACTTACCCTACATGTATACATACGACTATTCCACGCCCAGCTCGAGCAAGACTAGAATACGGGCAGCATGAACCTATCAAAAGGAAGGACAGAGGGTAGACTACATAGATGCGGTACAAAAGGCTTGGGGGCTGCTTGCGTACAGGAGGAGCTGGTGGACGTGGTAATGTCGTCATCACAGCTGGATATAGTGATGAACCGGAGTCCGAAGATAGGGATGGGCCCAAACGTTCACCGTCACCCTTGTCGAAGGTTGAACGGTGGTTCATGATACACCGCCCGTCTCTTGGAGTGGAGTGTTCTGCGCAGTGCACAGGTGTAGCTTCGACAAAAATGTAGTACTACAGAAATAGAATGCGACGGCCTTGGTCCGCTCTCCAATAACATTAGTGACCCAAGGGCATATTAACTGTAGCTTCGAGCTTCGCGTGGCAACTATTATAATGTAGCTTCGCCATCAACCTGCGTCGATGACGCCAGCACAAGACCGATGCGGGATCCACACTTCCAAGAGCATGACACACTTCTTTGCTCCGCCCACCTACCAGAAACACTGAAGCGTTCGGCACTCGCGCTAACACATGTTGTCACACTCGAAGCGTGCGTAAACGCAACACCATGATATATCTAACCTGCCCAAGCGCCCAACCATGGCATCTCTGTCGGCATGCTCGTAGGTAGTGTCATACGTGGCGTACAGTCATCCACAATCGCCACATCCGGTACCCCGAGAGCAGCCAGCGATAATGCTGTCACCAGCCCGGTGCAGTCCTTCCCTGAACATTGCATCATGCCGGTCCACAAAGGAGTCAGTTGCATGGGAGGAGGGAGAGATTTGTCTGCCCTGGTATCTACATACAGTAGTTCGCCATGCTGGCGACTCGCGGAGTCGATGCTACCGCCGTTATGGCCAACGCCACCAGCCAACACAGAGCCCACCCTTGCTACTCCCACCCGCGCTTGACACCTGTGCTCAGCAACGTGCATGTGTCGCTGACATGGGTTGTAGTAGCTGCTGCTGAAGTCCTCCGGCTGGTGGTGGACGGGGTGAAGGGAGTGGGCCTTTAAGTTGGCCCTGATCGTAGTTGATGCCTTGTCTTCTCCCGAAAATCGATCGAGTCCTGAATGGATGCTCTTGCTCGAGCGCCAGCGGCCGTGTGCTATAAGCGAGCTGCCGTGACCTACACACCTACACGTATGCGGCCTCTCTTTGCTCTCTATTCGGTCCGCCTCTTCGCTAGATTCGTCCCCAAACGACTTCACTTTTTCGTTCAGCTCGCTCATACGCGCACCGATCTCTCGGTTCAACATCCCCACTGTCAGGGCGGTGGCCGTATCACCCATACAAGGGTCTATGATCCATGACGGCGGGGCTGGAACTGCTGTGAAAGGCAGCAGTGCCGGTAGAGGCCAAGTGTGCCAAACCAACCACATGTGCAACTTGGTGGTTCGGACGGGGGGGGTGCTATTTGTTTTGTAGCGCGGCGGAGCCCCTCTTCCGAAATCCTTAGAGGGAACGGCGGGAGGACACTCACCCCAACTGCACACAAGCGCAGCACCGCTTTTGATCTGACCATGGCTTCACCTATGTGCGTCGGAACGAGTATACTAGACACCGGGGCGAGGAAGGCTCCCGCAGCAGGGCCTGCAGAAGCACAGGCTGGTGTGCCTGGCATGTTCGGGTTGCCAAACGTGGCGAATGTGAGTGTGCTCTGCTCCCCCTCTCGTGCAGCTTTTGCCAGTTGCTCCGTCGACAAACGAAGGTTGCCGTGCGTGTATGCCACCTTGTGCAAAGTGCACTGGATCAATGAGAAACCAAATGCGAGAAATGTTCAGCGGTTTTTGTCTTCCACGTCTAGAAAGATAGATAGCGAGGAACAGGCCGAATTTCCGATATTATGACGCCAAATAGCACCCCCCCTCCTTTGACGTTTTGGATGCGAGACGTTTTGGATGCGACCTTCGTCCACCGCCACGAGCAGCGGGTTGATTTTCTTGTTCTCTTGGCAACAAACTTGCCGACGTCTGTCTGAGCATCTGCTATTTGGACTGGACGACGCCCTTCAATACCGTGGGGAAAAGGAGTATGAAACACTTCGAAGATTGCATATGCATACATCGTACAATTGCCATGTCAAGTATACACGCGGAGCGGGTGCTGATTGTGCTACTGCTGCTGCATGTACAGCAGTACACACACTGTTCTGAATCGCGATTGGCCCCAACAGCTGACTTCTTTCACTCGCTGGCCCGGCTGTGCACTGCTGTCTGTCGTCAAACCGAACCAACGACTTGCCCTCTCTCGTTTGCAGCCTGCCGCGTTTTGTAGCGCCAATCTTGGCTGCGGCTACGGAACGGACCACGCGCAAGATATCAAGTTCGCAAAGGGTACCACCACGCTTGCTTTCAAGGTGTGTGTGTGGCTTTTGCACGGGAAAGTAACGACCGGACAATTTTCTACCCATGCCCTGCCCTGACTGCTGTATTTGTTCCCTGCGTTCTTTTTTTGAATGGCGGACGAAATGCAGCTCATCAAGATAACAGCAGTCGCTAAACAGCCTGGTATCTTTGCGGGTACGAGTGCCGAACAAGGCGCACAAATACATCCGCCAAAATGTTTTGATCGCGAGTGTAGTATCCGGGTTATGGTTGTTGCATCATTGTGATGAACGATGTCGCTTCACATCCTTGGTGGATTTGTCTCGTGTGGTTGTCCGTCTGGCGTCCCTGGTGCTGCCGCCGACCTCTGGCAAAAGAGAAAAGCACGCCCAAGTCCACTCAATTCAAACCCCACATTTGGCCTTAACTCTTGCAGATGATTGCTCCACTTTCAGGAATCTCCGCTTTGCCCTGTCTAGCTTGCTACCATGGCATATCACCCCCCGCCCTGCGTTTTAGGGTCGATTTTTTGTCTTGGCCGATGTCCATTGCCGATGTTCGTTGCCGGTCGTGGCCCAACATGCCTTGTGTTCCCCCCGACGCCCGCTGTTGTGCGCTGTTCAGTTCCAGGGAGGGATTATCGTCTCCGTTGACTCCCGGTCAACCATGGGACCGTACATCGGTGAGTATATGCTCGGCCCACCGCATCCCGCTTACTCGTATCGTAATTTTTCTCGTGGTACTTTGACCGCCGCATACCGTAGCAGCGCCAGTCATCGCACACAGCCTGATGTTTTTGACCGCGCATACCGTAACAGCGCCAGTCATCTCTCACGCCCTACACCGGCTTTCATAGATCGCTCGCTTCACAACCTAGAGGCTGCCACTGCTGAAAATGGTGGTGCTGGAGCGATCTCGGTGAGAGAGAGCTTTCCTTGCGCGTATCGACCGGTTTCCGCTCCCTCTCGGTTGTGGAGCAATGGAACCATGTGCAGTCAGCCTACTACAGTATACTGGGTGTGCGGTGTCTCGCACGTCAAGTGCTGTACCTCAGATTCGGCTGTGCACTTCCTGCCTACACTGAAATGCTGTAAGTACAAGACGGGACCATCCCTCGGTAGAAACCAAAATCATTCGTCTGTGTCGTGATCTCCTGTTGATGTTCGCCTTGCAGCTTCGGGGACGGTGAAGAAGGTGATTGAGATCAACCCCTACCTTCTCGGGACGATGGCGGGAGGAGCGGCTGACTGCTCGTTTTGGGAGCGTAACCTGGGCATTCAGGTCAGCGCGCAGGATGTAGACAGATACAGTTTGTACGGCATGTTTCAGTTCACATCCGAATTGTGGCTGGAGGGCGTCGTTGTGAGACGCGTGCCTTGTGGCTACAGATCCGCTGCTGCGTGTGCGAATCGTGAGTCATGCCCCGTACTGGGTGTTCTCCACCACGAAGGCTTTCTCCGTTATCTTTCACGGAGCCCCAAGCATTCGATGAATTCGACGCCAACCCAGATTTTTTCGGTGCACATGTAGAGTGCTGTCGCCTTCGCACACGAGCGAGCCACGTGCAAGAGACAAAGGTGTGCATTCCTGTCGCGCAATCTGTGCGCACTGCACAAGAAGAGAGTCAAGACAGTCTGTCATGTTGCGCCCTTCTTGTTGCGCCGCATCACCATCACCCCATCCCATCTCTGCAGTGTCGAATGTACGAGCTGCGCAACAAGGAGCGCATCTCGGTGGCAGCGGCGTCGAAGCTGCTGTCCAACACCATGTCGCAGTACCGAGGGTACGGGCTGAGCATGGGCACGATGGTGGCCGGCTGGGACAAGACGGGGCCGCAGCTGTACTACTGCGATGACGACGGCACTCGGCTGCACGGCAACTTGTTCTCGGTGGGGTCGGGATCGACATACGCCTATGGTGTCCTGGATACGTGAGTGGCGGGCGTTTACCGTAGCCTCTTTCTGGTGGAGCACTAACCGGCAAAATGGAGGGTGTTCGGTTGGTAATTGTTGTTGTTGTTGTTGTTGTTGTTGTCTTCACATTAAAAACCGTTCCGATCTCTCTCTACTCGGTACCTTCGTATGTCCGTACTGATCCAACACTCGACGCGGTCGATTCCCGTGGTCACAGGTTAACTTACCCTAAAAAGGTACACTTATAAGGACATGTCGAGTAGTGCGGGGCCCACACAACAACAAGCTGTGGTATATGCCAAACGATTCACTGCATTTTTCCGACCACCCACTTGCACGAACAGCAGCGCGTGTGTCTGCCTTTTTTGTGCTTACGAGAGTGACACACTTGTGATACGCTCAACAAGCTATGATTTCTTCTTGATACAGAATTGATCCTCTCGTGTCCCGCCGCCCCCTCCCCTTTGCTCGAAAACCACACCAAACATGAACGCCGAACCAGCCACTACAAGTACGACATGACCGACGAGGAGGCGATCGAGCTGGGCAAGAGGGCCATCTACCACGCCACGCACCGGGACGCGTACTCCGGTTCCATCAACAACGTTTACATCGTCAAGCCGACGGGGTGGGTCAAGGTCCACGCGGGAGACGTGAACGACATGCACTACAAGCTCGCGGAGGAGAAGGCAGCCATCGCCGCGTCGCGCGCAGGGGCAGAAGAGAAGGCACCATGAGACGGGGGGGTGTAGTGTAGGTGGTGTGGAGGACCAACTAGCGCTGCTATTGTGAAAAAAACCAAAAGGTCTTTCGTGGGGTGTTGTCGTCCACGGGGCAGGGGGTGATGACGTTGAAGACCCTTGGAATAAGGGCGGCCCAAGCCTGACGCTGGCGGAGCGTTCGGAACCGCTCCAGTAAATTAGGGCATAGCAACATCGAAGTCCAAACGAGAAGCAACGCGGGGGCGGGGGAGGGATGCTTGCACTTGACGCAGCCGCTCGTGGCAGTGTTGCGCTTGGTTCCCATGCGTTTTGTGGAAGCCGTAGTGTCGCCGACTTGAGATGTGTGTGTCCACGCGCGCGCTCAGGTCGGAGTCGCCACTTTCTTTCCCTGTGGCGGAGGAGGAGTGCTGTTTCCCGATCCCGGCGTGTCGCTTGCAGTCTCTTGGTTGTGTTCGCGAGATGGACAAAACACTTACAACGGTTCATGTGCCAGGTATTGCTTTGTGTAAAACTTCGCAGCAGGAACACAAAAATTCGCGCGTGCCGGGCAGCACATGTGGGTGCCTTCATGTGCATGTCCATCCCCGTGAGATACTCATCCTACTGAAGGGACAGCATGCCGTAGGCGCCTAAGATACCCCCTTTGAGCGATTTTCAAGTCTAGATTGCTCTGGAGCAAACAACATCGACGTTGCTGACAAAGGCGGGAGGCGTTAGAATCGTCTCGTCGAGAGCTTTCCGAAAACGTATCATTTGATGTTGGCATTGTCTTCGTCGTGGGGTATTGTTCGAGCTTTGAAATTCAATTCGGCCCAAGGGGGTGTGGTATCTTGCGGAATCTACGGCACTGCTTTTCGTGCACAAAAAAAACTACACACACGGCCGATGAACTTGAAAGGTGCGCGTTGAAATGGAGTCTCTGGTTTTGCACGGGGAGCCGAATACGGGATTCCTCACAGCAATTATCCCTTATGATAGTCCACAACACAAAACAACCCGGCAACGAAACACGTTGCTTTTCGTGCCGTCCGAACCAGCAACTGGTAGGTCGGAGGCCCACACTCTCTCTTCCAAAGCGGCAGTACTGAGAGTCCCGTATGGCACAAAGCTCGACCGGAAAATTCGTCAGAAAATCGATGAAAATCAGGCCGGTGTTCCATTTCGACATGTGCGTGACTCCTATTTCGACATGCATAACTCAGCATTCTTTGGAAGTGTGGATTCTTTGCAAGGGTGGTCTCCCTTCCCATCCGGCGGGGGAGGGGGGGGGGAGCCGGACGGCACTCCCGCATATCGGGTACGTCCACCAAAACTCCTACCTATACATTTGTGTTTTGTACTTCACAAGCTTGCCCCGACATCAAAACCAAAGCTTTGATCGAGCCTACCCCGAACACGCCAGCAATCGCCGCGCGTGTGGGGCCCATTTATCTGCCAAAGAAAACTCCACCCCGAGGCTCTGGTTGGTGCAGGTACAGGCGGCCGAGCGCGAAAAGAGCAAAAAGAGGGACGACAAGTGTGCGTGTGTGAGGTGTATGAAACCTGAGCACATTCTTGGGCCGAAAATGATCCAGCTTTGGTGTGACGGCGTCGGTGGGCACGACACGCATGTACCAGTTCGCGGCAGTAAACACGGAGGTGTGTTTGCATCCCGGGACGCGTTGAAAGAGGCACAGCCATCCAGCTCGAAGACACCCACACACCACTGTAACGCAGTAATGTCTATCGAGCGTGTCGCAAAAGAAAAGGTCTTTCATGCCAGTAAGAATCAATCTCGCCCACACCTACGACAGCAAGTATGGCAGTCCTCGAAACATGTGTAGGAGCCTGCCTGCCATTCTCTCGTACCTGTGCCATTCCTCGGAACATGAGCACGGTTCTGAGGATGAAGTACAGGTCCTGGGGATACTCAAGCACCGAGTTGAGCTTGAGCACGTTGTTGTCCGAGAAAGGGTTGAAGTCCAACCCCTTGATCGTTCGCGTGTCGAACATCACGAGCGCCAGCTTCTCGATGCTGTCCGCGTCGTCGGGGTTGCTCAATTTCACACCCAGCCCATTGAAACTATTCACGGAGGCAGGGATGGGGGTGGGGGGGGGGTTACTCACTTAGATCAATACAAGATGTTCTGGCCCTGTCGAACAAACACACGGGACAAAATGTTGAGCTGCAGCCAAGAGAGTGCTCACGATAGTCAGTCGCCGTCGAAGTTAAAGTCGCCATCGTTGCACGTATTTGTAGATGACACACTCAAGTGGTTTCTTAACGGCGATGAACAGACCTCACAACCGTATACTGTAAACGGCAATTCCAGTTATCTCACCATACAAGCCGCTACTCCAAGACTGCAGTGAAACACCAGCGCTCACCTCAGGCGGATATGAAATTGTTTGATTCGAAGCTTCCAGCACAAGCTGAACAAGCCTGCACCGCCTACAAAGAGTGGTATGTACTCCATTTGCAACAAAGTTCGGCTTCACGGTCGACGGGGGAAAGGGATCGCTGAACCCTTCTCGCGATAAAACTAAGGCAAGCACCGCAGGGGGAAAGGTGGGGCAATAAAACAAAAACAAAATATCACATGGTACGAAAAAAGCTCCTGCGTGACCTTCCTCTTGTGTGACCCCGGCTGATATGTATATGTTGTACGCCGTACACCGGCGCTAGAATAGATGGGACGAACACACACACTCCATTTGCATGCCTAGACCTCAGTATTCTCTCCTGCCCCATCTGCATGAACCACTCCCTCCCCTGCGGCTTGAACCGAAACTTACCACCTTACGATGTCCGGGCTGGCGTGCGAGCTGACCGCCAGGATGAGGTTGGCAACCTTTTCCCGATCTTGCCTCCCAAGCTCCTTCGTCTGTCCCCAATCTAGCAGTCCTATTCTCAGCTGAATTGATTAGTGATTGAGCAAGAGAGACAGATCAACACCGGGCGGTTGGGCGGGGTGCGGGCAGCCCGGCGCGATACGACCGGAACCTGAAGGCATTAAGGAGACATCGACTCCATGCGAGTACAATGTACGGGAGGAAGGAATCAGGTGCATGAAGCAGCGATAACAACGAGAGAGAATCGCGACCACGAACGAAACATGCCGGCGGTAGAAAACTGCTCCAAGGAGAGGTTAACATGTGGTAGATGAACGCCTTGAGCAAACCGCCTTGACTCTGTTTTCGGGTTGCAACAGCCAGCGGTATCCCCTGAGTCATGAGCTTCGATCTGCTAAATAAGCAAAACACTAAATGATGAGTGCTCGAAGAAAACAGTGACCTGTCCGGTTGTTTGCAACAGAAGCATCCATGGCCACACGAAGGAAGGAAAGGAGGGCATGCTCTTATACCATTTCCGTTCACCTTGGGCGTTCGAAGCCCAAGCAAGCCAAAGCCGCGCTTGATCGGCCCAACTTGCTCCTCGGGCATAATGAGGATGTTCCCTCTTCGAGTTGGGGAAGCGAATGAGGCAAAGGTCGGGAGGGAGAGAGAGCACGGACTGTTGGTAACTGGGGAGCTCTGACGCATATTTTGGGCTTCAAACTCTTGAAGGCATGCATGCAAGAGACGGTTGAAGATGACATTTTAACTGTTTGTGGCGACCAGTATTTGCTTCCGACTTGCATAATTCAACGGGTATGCTCAGCCGTGCGCACCCGATGACAAAAACAGGAATAGCGCAGCCTCAGCAACAAAATTTCGCCACCCTACAGCGCAAACCATGAGATAGATGACAGACAGACGCCGCGACCTTCACCATGATCAGAGAGCAGCTGACGCCTCGTCTCATCCCCTGCCGCAACAAATCTCTAATAAATAGCGCACCTCGCGCACTGTGTAAACAATTTTCACCGACATTTGAAGCACTCACGGATGTGGATCAGCGTTGAACAGCCCCTGCCCCCACGATCCCGCCACACCCGCCGCCATCGCGAGTTCATCCACGTCAATACCGCGCGTGCAAACGAGAGAGGGGGGGGCGCACAGCATACCGAGCGTCAAAGGATGCGCTGGATGACACAGACGACGGAACAGTCTGCCTTCCCGAAACGTGATGCACGAGAGTCACTGAGCGGAGTCACCCTCCGCCCCTTGGTGTGAGACAGATACAGTCGTGCAGCACGACAGAAAAGCTATAGACAACACGGGCCCTAAAAAGAGATATGTACGCAGAGGATCTTCTACAGCCCCCACCTCTTCGAAAATCATGAAGCCCCAGGCGTCCGCAAGCTCGTGCAGCAGACTCTTCCCGATTCGCTTCCGAGCGGCGTTAAACCGCTCCTTGCCACCACGCTTGAGCTGGGCCAAAGACTCCCCCTGTAACAAAAATGCGGGCACGAGATCAACGCGAAAGGCTTGTTCGAGCCACTCAAGTAACAAGAGCGACGGAGAGCGGAATATTTCATAGATGGTACACCAGCTTTCGAGTTGGGATCATCTGTGGCACGCCTACTGCCACTGTTTAAATCAAAGCTCGTTCGATTCTGCGTTAGATAAGGTCGTGGCGGGATCGTGGCACACGAGTCCTGCTGTGCCTCGAAACGGTCACTGTGCGCCGCAGCCACCGCCCCCCCCAAAGTTGTCGAGGAAAAACTACACACGGTTGTTCTGCGAAGACGCTCTGCGTACTCCGCGTCTCTCTTTACCTCCAGGTAGGACATGATTAGAACTCTTTTGGTAGACGAGCGGCTCGTGGGCAGGTTTATCCGTCGCGAGTGCTCCCCCAGCGACTCGTGCATGCGATCCATTGTCGTCGCTTCCGACCTGATCAGTCATCATCGAAAGAAGCAGCGTTGGTTGGCACCGCTTACCGTTTCGAGTCCCTCGAGGGTTTCAAAGGTTCACGAGAACGTGTCTACAACACCCCAAGACTGTCCTGAGGAAGGGCACACACCTTGGTACTTCGTATCACCAGAACCATCACCAGAATCAAGAGATCGCTTCAAATGGGGACGACATTTCGGAGAGTACTCACGTATAGAACGGTAAGGTTCTGCCGCAAATACCAAAACACCACCACTAACTTAACATGGTTCGAAAGAGAAATATCTGACGCGTGGTGTTTTCTACCCAAGAAGGGAAGCTGCATAGAAAGCACTGTTGCCAATGCAAAGAATGGCCTCATCAATCATCACCCACCTGAAGTCGAACTCCCCCTTGATCTGTCTCGACAACTCTTTTAAGCTCGACAAAATGTCGAAGTTGAGCTCGAACTTTTGCAAGAACCAAGCCAGAATCTTTAAGTTTCGCAGATCCGACATCATGACCCGCTCTGCCCCGGGATACTGCACCTGAAAGATGGGAGGCGACGACAGCCAGCAGGTTTGTCTAACGGTCAGGAAAGCAGCTGCCAGTGGCCACGAAAATGAACGAAAAACTGTATGCCATGGTACAAAAATACCAACAAGCTCTTTCTGGTGGTGAATTACGAGCTTGTGCCGCTATAATAGGCAGCATCCCGGCGTTATTCCACACCGCTCATTCTAAAAATCAATCTCTCACCTTCACGGCAACTTTCTCCCCGGTCTCCCTGATTACGCCTCTGTGAACCTGAGAACCCAAATCGGCGGCAGCCAGCCGACGAAGGAAGGAGTGTCAGGTAGGGTGTGGACAAGGTGGGACGGGAGGATTCACAAAGGGCGTTGCATGCTGACAGTCAGGTTTGTGACGAGTTACAAAGGGTCGCTCTGCCATCAAACAATTCGGTTGTGTGCTCGTGGTAGGCCGGCAAACAATCGGCGGCCCCAATCGCTTTGCATGCCGTCAGTCGTCTGTCACTCGCCATGTCTACGTTTCGAAAGCTCGACAAGTTCTCCACCACATGCGTGCTGCGGCAGTGGCACGCATACATGACCGTGTGGGAACTCTGAATCTTGCGGTACTATCATACGAAGGAAACAAACAAACACCCCTCAGTGTCATGTTTTTCGCCACACTCATGACAACGCGCGCACATTTTCGGCACCTGGGCCAGAACTTTAGTGGACCGTCATCACGTCGAGGATCAAACACGCGATCGAGAGGTGTCTGCACCCAGGTGGCCAGAGCGCCGATATCTGATGATGCACACACAAGGCCTACGTGTACGGGTGAACGGCGCCGCGCTCTGCAGCCCGTGCTATAACACCACACCTGGCTGATGGATGCGGATCCAATGGGGTGCGTGAGGTTCAAGCTGCTGAAGAGCTCTTCAGCAGGCACATCCAGCTCCCGCGCCAGCACCTTCGAAACATGGCTCGCAGCCATGGGGGGCACGTCGTCGTGGAGTTTGCTGTGAGCGCATTGTGCGACAAGAGACCAAGCAGGAGTCCGTCAAGAAGACAATAGGTACGGCGGTGTGTCGTATCGAGAGCACACGCGTGGCGGGGGGTAGTGGTGCCGACAAAAATAGCGACAGTCATAAAACGAGAGGTTCACGAAGTAGAGTAGCTCATAAGTTGCGTACAAGCTTCTCAGTAGTCCATTCAGTTGGTTCCACCTTAACAGTGGGTATGCACTGGGATCGACTACGTCCGCCTTACATGTAGAGGAAGGAACAGAGGGGCAAGAGTGCCGTTCATGGGCAAAAAACGCCGGTTCGTTTGCTTCTAACTTTCGCATGACCCTGTGATTGGAGTTCTGGGATAAAACCCACCTCCCCTTCATTCTCCAAGCTCGTTCAAACACGCACCCAAACGAGAACAGGGAGAGAGAGCCAGCGAGGATAAGACGAGTTGCCTCTCCGTCGCCGGCACATGCATCAGAGGCAAAGATCTCACCCGAGCTTTCGGAGGAATATCTTGGGCATGAAGTCGTGTCTCGTCCCCAGAAACTGTCCCGACTTGAGGTAGAACCCTCGGAGGTCCAGGCAAAGCTTCAGCATGCGATCGCTGCCACCGGAGGGAGGAAGGTCACGGTATGAGCAAGACACCTTTGGAGGAGGCCTTACGGGAACACGTACGCCTGAAGGTTCATGACACTTGGCACCTACCTGTGGGCCGGGGAGGAAGAGCAGCAGGACTCCCACTCGGCTGGTCAACTCCTGTTCATATCCGGGGTAACCACCACCCTCCGCCAAAGTGCGTTACTATAGCTTCGCCAAAAAATGCGATGAATCTGCAGCTCCTGAACCTCCTTTGCATGCTTGCCCAAGTTTTCAACCCTACCCCCAAGTGCAAGAACCGACAGCGCACCTCGAAAGGGCCCCCGACAAATGTTCGCATGCGGTGCGATTGTTACCTGTTGAGTTCGTGGATGCCGTCCCACCACTCCTTCCTCTTGAGCTCCCGCTCCTCTAAATTTGCCACCCTGGGTAGCTCCAGAGCGCACCTACAAAATAGAGAAAAATACACATGTGCGTATAACATCGTGGTTTCATGGTGACAACAACAACACAGCCTCGGGTTTCCTCAGCAGCAGCGATTCGTCTAATTTCTAGCTCGTGGGACGGTCAATCTACCTTCTCCATCGAGAGCACAGACTCAGCATGATCTACCGTCGCCTTTGAGGCAAGTCGTTTCGTCGCCAAACCTGCATGGTCTAGAGTACCCCAAATTGGCTCATCGCTTCACGTGGAGATCTCCTTACAAAAACCTATACAATCTACTCTTTTCACATTCTCTCTTCGTCAACGCCAATGCGAGGTGAGGGAATCGCCCTAGACTGACAGACGTTGGGGAGACTACACCCTTTATGAAGAGGACCTCCACTTTCACGGCTACAGCTCTGCTATCCTTTGCACAGGAAGCCACCTCTAGTATATTCTCTACAACCGGAACTCCAGAAAACAAAAGCTTTCAATGGAAAGCACGCTCCGCAGAACTATGCCGCCACCATCGTACGGTACGTGGCTAAACAAAACATGGCGTCTCACTTGGCCTGCATCTTCTTGTAGGACAAATAAATCGTTGCAGACCGCCCCCAGAATCGAGCCGCCCGGAAAACCTGTGCGCCTTCCGCCCTCTCTGTTACTTCGTGGTCCTCCGCGGCCAACCCCTCCGCCACGGTAAGCGCCACTCGCTGCCCAGACAACAATCGGCAGATAGACGTACAAGAGCGAACGGGTGATGTGGGTACATCCATCCATCCACACAGTTTCGACCTCAGCTTTCAGTGTACGAGTCACGGGGGCTTGTCGGCAGCATCGCCTTGGACGAAAGCTGGATATGGGCCCACGCAGAAAATCAACGTTGGGAGACAACAGTGGGCTAAATAGAGTGAGCACTGCTCGACCCAGCGCGATTCCTTGTGCGCGACCCATGAAGTATTGCGGACGACCAGCTGCGCGGACGATCAGATCGCTTACAACCAATCTACTATACTTGTACTTGGATGTGACCGCTTTACGGCGAGTACTGTACTCACTACAAACGCAGTAGCACACACAGAGCAGCGGTTCATTGAATTAATTATATCGACGTGGAAAAGGTTCATAATGGCAAGGGGGAATACTATATGTAGAGTAGTAGGCGACATGTGACATGCCCCCCACCTTGCGGCGGTCCTGCAGAGCCTTCCGCCAAGATATGTGAGCCAGGGGAAATCTCGGCATCTTGAGCAGCAGCCCTCCTCTCGTGTGTTTCACGTTTTTACTCCCTGCCCTTCTGCTGCTGCTTCTCATACTTTTCTCCTCATCGACAGCAACATTTGATTCGGCAACCACGACCGCCACGCTGCGACTGGGCCGCCCTCCCCAAGGTCGAGAAACCACGGCGCTAGCTCGTGAAACCGAGAGCAAGCACGCAACTGCCAACATGGCGAGCCAGCCCGTCCTGCGGAGATGCGCACCGCCCTGTGAAAGCCCATTCGTGAATTTCTTGGCAACATGGAGAAAAAAGGCCGTTAGGCTGTCCGTCATTGAGCTTGCAGTCGGTGGAGCTGTCGAGACGGCGATGGTACTGCTGTCGCTGCTGTCGCTGCTGGTGCTCTCGCTGCTGGTGCTCTCGCTGCTGCTCGTGCTGTCGCCGCTGCCGCTCGTGAAACGGTCACGTAACTCGCGAAGAAAAGAACTCGGTGTGGAGGATGTTTGAGGCGCCTGCTCGCCGCTGAGTCGTACTGCTGATGCAAGGGTACCGATGCCAACTCTTGGCCCTCGTGAGTACGCTGCTGCTGGGTGTATCCCACTCCTCGTAGCAGTAGTGCTGCTGGGGCTACCGGCGGTGGCGGTAGTGGCAACGAGAACTTGCTCGAGATTGGCCGATGATACGACCTTGGTCACAGCCAGTAGAGCTAGAATTGTTTTCATACGTGCCTCTCCAGAACCCTCGAGTGGCCACCGGTTGCGCCTCTGTGCAGGGCGACGAGGGAGCAAGCCGAGAGCAATAACATAAACATGCACTGCTTGGTCTGTGTGTTGTGCCTGTTGCAGAGTAGCGGCCCACCTTACGGGGGGGGACGCAATATCCGCCGTACTGAATCATACCTCCCCACTGCTTGAAAAGTTAGTTTTTCCTCCGCGGGGACTTTTCAAAGATCATAAGATATCAGGCACGCATGCTCCCCGACCAGGCCCACGCATCTCCTACCTATCTATGGACTACCGCATACATAACAGAACCCTTGTATTCTGAGCAAGATTTGAAGCCTCACTGATATCTTTGTCCAACGATTGAGCAAGAGCTGTAACGACATAAATAAGCTATACCCTCGTGCGAAACGATATCTACGCAGACTATTGTGAAAAGAGGGAATCGTCCTCGACAGACGTTGGGGAGTTTCTACCTTTATGAAGGTGGTCTCCACATTACCCCCCCTTTTTTCGAGACTTTTTCTTGTTGCCCAGGCAAGAGAAGTCTTCTTGGGGTAACCGGAACCCGACCGGCTGGCGGCGGGGCGATTCACATTCCTCACAATCCTCTGTAGTACGTGTTTTACGGGTTCGCTACGTCCGCCACGTTTTCAGAAGTTCCGAGTTCGATAGCCAGTGCGTCCTTCCTTGGCCCACCCACCGTTTTTCTTTTTCCGTTATCCGGAAGAAAATTTAGTGACCAGCGGGTTTTGAACCCGTGTCTTTTGCAACCAAAAGCAGACACCCTGACATCTCTTCGTCGACGCCATTGTGAAAAGAGGGAATCGTCCTCGACAGACGTTGGGGAGTTTCTACCTTTATTTTTTATGAAGGTGGTCTCCACACTATAGTCTAGTACTCAGTCAGGCATGACCAGTACACTGCGGCGGTATGTAAGCTCCCGCCGGCGGAGAGCTGTCTCCCTCAAAGTAAGTAAGTATACAAGTAGACAATTCCTTCGTTTTGCAAAATTCCGAGAATATGTTGCTTTTTGAAAGGGTCTTGTGTGTTGAGTGCACGCCCTTCACATATTTTACATGTCGTGTGCCATCTCTTCAGAACCAGGAGAGGTTTGTTGGGTTTGTTTGTTTGAGAATCGAATCATCAACAACCAAGGTTTTGCCAAGAGCGCGGCTTTCCAAGAAGATATATTGGATCTCCGATCAATCTCAATCTCCAATCTCCAATCGATGAGAGAAGAAGCAAGGTGCAGGAGGGTGACATTTTGGCGCTTTGTCCTGTCTGTGCTGTGTGTGTCAACTATGTATGATGCATTATTATTCTACCGATCGATGGATCTCGTTCTCTACGTATCTTCATGTAATGTATGTATTTATTGTATGTATTAAGGAATAATAATAAAAACACACACAGAAATACTACCCATTCGAGATATACCCACAGTCGAACGGGATGTGGTGGAGTCTTTTCAGTGAGTGGAGGGAAACCGGCTGGGTACTGGACTTATTTCGAGTCTTTTATGTCTATACACTGAACTGATGATTTATATCAGTGATGCCAGCTGGTGCTAAGTACAAAAACATCTGTACAGGTAACTTACATTTTACAATACATCCCCTGTAGTTCTCTACTGGTATGTAGTATGTATCTTCATGCACACATATCCCCACCTTCCCGGCGGGTGGCGGGAACGATCGGTCGGTCCTCCGGTCGTCATCTCTCTCTTTCTTCGAGTCGATGATTTGAACATGTGAACCACGACGCCTGCCCGGCGTTCACACAGCAGTAAGTTCCGGTAGTGGTGTGCGGGATAAAAGGAGGCGGGGACTACGTAGACTAATGCGGTACAGTATAATGTACGGTACAGCAGTAGTAGTACAATAGGCAGAAGAATAAAAAGGACCCACACACAACAAAAAAATGAAATGTTGGATTTTTGTTAAATGGTTGTAAGGGAGGGTTACTCATCACCCCAGGGGATACGTGCAAAGGACTTGTCAAAATGTATTGCGTGTGTACGGACGAGGTGGTGCATCCTCACCCACCCCTGACTTCTACGCCGCCGACTATTTTTTCGACGTATGCACACACTTATAACTTATAACCCCCATACTATTCGTTCGTTTTTGGGCCTACTGTGGTAGGGAGTGTTGCCAGTCAGTGTGCCGAGACAGACAGGGCGATTGGATGCATAAATAGTTTGGAGTCATACGCTGTATCACCGGAAACTAACTCTAGGTAGGGTGACTGCCTCGTCGTGAGCGGCGGTCTTCTTGTTGTGATGTGGGGGGGGCGGGGGGCGGGGGGCGGGGGGGGGGGGGGGGGGACTT